AACACGTCATGATATTCTAGAAGGATCATGTCTGTTAGTGGCAACTCTAGTATTCTCTGCGTGTCCTATATTTTATATATATATTGTTACGTCTCTGTGATCGTTTGCTAATTTTCCGTAGAAATTCTTTCCGAAAAACTTCAGCAATACAAGTCCTTCCTTAAATAAAACTAGTTTATTCTTTCTCAATACAACTTTGCAATACACTTAATTCCCACAGTCAGTTAACTTAAACAAACACTATAATTCACAACAAATGATTCACGCGCTTGACTCAATCGTCCTTCTCTATCTCTGTCTGCAATTCAATTCAATTGTTGCCGTCTCTTCTTGGCGGTCTTATATACAATAATACCGCACATCTAGTAAACGCTCGAGCATTAACGAACCTTCGAGAATATCATGACGTGTTACTAGAGTCACGTGACTTCCGCTGTCGTAACACTGCCCCTTCTATAGTATTGTTCGTCCCGAACAATAGCCACTTACATTAAACCAATAGATAATTAACAATAACATAATTAAATATACAAAATTTACAAACACTACAAACATAAAATTAAAATTCAACAAAGTCTCTTACTTTTACGGGACGTATCTTCTTCCGTACTGGCTTCTGCTTCACGTGAGGTTCATCTGCTCCATCAGGAATTGTTCTATCATCGGTAATGGTCACATCAGTGGTAGTAACTTCCGCTGTCGTAACAATATATAAGCCGGCAAATGAAATGAGGGCATAATAGATAATAGCAGACAGAGAGATTGAAGATATAGACGGACATTTGAGTCAAGCGCGGTAGGAAGTAAAATGCGTGAATCGTTCTTTGTGAATTGTTGCGTGTATTGAAGTTAAAGTGACTGTGGAAATTAAGTGTATTGCAAAGTTGAGTTGAGAAAGAATAAACTAGTTTTATTTAAGAAAGGACTTGTATCGCTGAAGTTTATCGGAAGGAATGTCTACAGAAAATTAACAAACAAACACAGAGACGTAACAATTCTATTTATCAATTATTATTCAAGTAGAAGTTTAGCAGCTCTTCCGATAGAAGTTATTATAGTAAAATTATGTATATAGAAGAGTGCTGTGGCTTAAAGAGGCCATTTTTCGTCTCTCTACTGATAATGTGTGATTTCACGATGATTTATATTGATATTTCACAGTAACAGTGACTATCACAAGGTATTAATATTAATAATGCTGGCCGAAATCTGTAGATTTTATTATTTAATTAAATATATTTTGAATTTTATGAAACTTGACAATAAACAAGAATCGTGGTATAATTTCCACTGCGCAATCAATACGTTTTAAAAAATAGCAGGCTCTTGAATAAGTGATATTTATTTAAAAAACTTTAAAAGTAAGTAAAGGGTATTGATTATCACTCGATGTTATCTTTTGTTATTCCTTTCATTCTTTTTTGACCGAATGTACTATAGGAATGTTATCCATGAACAGCTATTTGTTTAGCATAATTTTGAAACATTTTCTTGAATATATTTTATTATGAGGTTAGTTTCTCTCTATTCAATTTAGAATATATTGTATTTTGATTCTGAAAAATAATTTGCTTAGTTAGATATAAAGTTGAATTATTATGTAAATTAGAGGAAAGTGTTTTGTTCAAAAGTTATTTAGTTTTCAATAAATGTGTTTCTTTTTTTTTAATTGATAAACTTACCAATTCATTGTCTAAAACCGAAAGTAAAACGAAACATAAAATCCCAAAGATTTTTTGGGTAAAATAATCGGTGCAGACATTTTGTTTTATATTCTAAACCTTTGCTGGTTCTGGTAGAATATTAAAACCGGAGGGATATAAGTAGTCATTTAATAACAGTATCAGTATTCTTCAATGATTTACAAAATTACAGTACGTTAATAAATTAAAATGTACTATGATTTGGTTTATGTAGGTTTTGAAATCGTTCCTGTTTTCATCATTGATGATACATGGACTGTTTGCTACTACTTTACTAGTACTAATATTAATAGTAGAATATTTGTCGTAATACAATGCCAAGTTGATTTATTTGTCTATGTTTTATGTTAAATTATCGTATTTAATTTATTTTTAATCATTTAGTATTCTAGGTGTAGTAATGTAAACCAAAAACTCAATACAAACAGTCTATTGCACATTTTTAATACCTAGGCTGTGTCAAAATATTTATCATGTATGCAACAAAAAAGTTGTAACTTATAGTCTATTTTACTGTTAGTTATGTAATGGTATTTCATACTGTGCTGTAAACTGTAGTGTAAGTTAGTCTCAACAGTTTGGGCATAAGAAACTAAGAAAAATTAATTTATTTTTGTGCATTTTTTTCATATCTATAAACCAGTATCAGAATGTTTACATATCAAATGCATATTAATTATTATTTGTGTATACATAATGTGTAATTTCATTACTTGGTAACATTTTAAATTGAAAAAGATATAGGCATATATGTGCCAAAGATATGGCCACTACAGGTGTGCTTCTCTGACTTGTGAAAATTTTGATGAAGTTATGTCTAAATGATATGGGACAAACATAGAAACCTGGTAAAAATATGCCTAATTATGTACAGGACCTCCAGAATGCCAAAAAGTAGCTTGAGAAAAGGGGAAAAAATGTCCAATTTAATTATTGAAATGCAATAGTTTCATTGATTAAAAGTAGTAGATATAGAAGAGTTCAAATCAGGGGTATTACTAGGTGCTTAAAAGATTTGAAGCTTGGGCCCACAGGTGTTGAAATTTTCATCATTTCAGTATGATATCGATCATGGTTTTCTTTTCTGATTTTGAAGATACTAACTGAGGATTTGGAGCACAGGCTCTGTGTGCCAGCATCTACCGATGCCTCTGGTTAAAATTGATAAATTGAATAATAATTTAGAGTTGATGAGTATGCAGTTCATTCTCTTGAGGATTGAATGAAACTTGAAAGTAAACACAATTTTGTTGTGACTGGAAAGAAAAGAGCTAAGTATAATAATTAGTAATATGATTCTGTTATTTTTTTAAATATGCTTTATGGTAAAAACTAGAGTTCATAAAGATCTGTTTCTGTTCTTAGTTGTGCCTGAATTGTTTTCATGTTTTTTGTATTAAATATACATAATATAACAAGGGACCATTTTGCCCTTCAGTGCTCTCCTTGTACATCCACCTTCAGGAAATGTAAATATTTAAACCCACCCTTTACTGTCCAGGAAATATTTAATTCTCTTCTTAAACTTGTAAAGTGGAAACACTTTTGCTGTCATTATTAATCAACAGGTATTTGTCCTTGTACTGTTTAGATAATTTGTGTTTTAAACTTAGAATTTTGTTATTTTGAGGTTTATGGATCACAAATACATGTTTATTTAAAAAAACAAATATTATACTTTTGTTACTTTTTAATGAAGGCTTCATAGCAAAGCAGGAATATTAAAGCTGGCACTGAGCTAGACTTGCTTATTTAGACAATTAGGCTTTCTGTGAAAAATGTACAGTTTGAGACTTTGTTAGATTTACAGTGATGAATGAAATATCAACAATAACTAGACCTAGTAAATCTTATGCACTTCCACTTCAAGTTAGCTACAATATGCTTCTCAACTAAATAACCAACTTGAAACACTGGTAGTTTAACATTTCTTGGCTTTTTAACCTATGTATGGATAATGTTCCCCAATACTATTATTTTAAGATTTGAACTTTTAAGTGCATCACTGTTGTTCTGCTGAATAAAACTGGGACCTTTAAGGTTTTGTTATAACATTTCTGAGGGACAAACAATTATCAGTGTTCAAAAGATGCAGCATTATTCTATTACTCTAGTTAAGATGTGTTTCTGTGTTTAATACAAGTTCTTTTACTAAAAAAAAGCATTATAAATAATTGTGTGCACCAATTATGCACACTGTTAACTGGTAGGTATATCATATGTGCATACTCAACAGTTCAAAATATAAAACAACAAAATTTGTTGGAAATAAATCAAACACATGAACTTTGAAGGTCATTCTCATTTCAAGCTGATTGATGAATTATAGAGTGATTACCTGCAGTTCAGAGTTACTGTTGAACTGAAAAATTATATAAGTCTAATTTTATTGATCAACATCAACAAAGTGATTAGTGTATTGAATTTATGCTGTAATTGGCTCAGGTGGTCCTTAATATTACAAAACAGAAATAAGAACAAGTGCCTAGTAAACACAGCAAAACAGTGTCAAAATGTCAGGTGTTGGACAAAAAAAAGCCATTAAAACTAGAAAGTATGCAGGATTTTATATAGTTTTCATTTTCAGCATTGCAGTGTATTTTGAGGAAGAAAATTCCAATTATATCAAAAGCTTATGTGGAGCACTGTTATTCAGTCAGTTTAATTTATAATTTTGTTTTGCACAAGAATAAAATGTAAATGATATCAAACCAGACATTAACAATGAATTAAATAGTACTTTAACATCCTAAACAATCCAACTATATGTGCCTTCAAAATAAAAAAAAGTGGTAAAATATTTAAGTTGTGAGAAGAATAGCCTAGAAAATTTGGGAGGACTTGATTGAGGTTTCAAATTTGTTAGAGTTCTGAACAGTTTTTCTATGGGTGTTGTGTTTTAATAGTTGGATGAAAAAACTGGATGTACAATGTGTATGTAAAAACCTGAATATTAGAAATTTTATGTTCAAGCTTTAAAAACCCAGATGCAAAACCTGCTCTTCAAAGTTATTGTTATGAAATTGTGAAATGGTTAACCTGATGATATATATATTGAATAAACAAATTGATATGAAGAGTTACATTATAAACTATAGTTTTATTGTTTTGGTTGGTTAGAGATGAAATCTTTGATACAGCCAGACTACTAGTGGTATTAGGTAATTAATGACCCCTTTAATCAATTTGTACAGTGTTCCTTAAACCATGGTCTGTACAATAAAAAAAGTTGATCATGGGTGCTGCTAGCCAATTGCCTTCCCTTTAGTTGGCAGTTCAAGAAGAAGAAGAAGAAGAAAAAAAAAGAGAAATAAAGAAACTTGGTAGTAGGTGCTGCCTCTAGTTAGAAGTTCAAAATAATAGCAGATAGTCTTAGTAGCTTTGCCATGACAGAGACAGGGTGAGAAAGCTTGGTGAGAATATTTCAATTACTTAGATAGTTGGAGTAATTGAAAATAATAATAATAATTAGAAACCATAATTTTGATTAGTTGATTGTGTTTTCGACTATCAGTGTAACTGGAATTTTGGTTAATCAGTTGTTGGAATGATCAGGAAAACTAATTTCACTTAATTGATTTAATTGTAATGGCAGTTAATCAATTAGTTTGCTAATCCATGTAATCACCATTTAGATAATCAATTATATTGATTAATTTATTTTATAATCCAGTTTTAGTTAAGATCCACTATTATGAATCAACAAGCTTATATGGAAACAAGTTTTGACAATTGATTGTTGGAATAATTGAAAACAATAATAATAGACAACTAAGCCTGTGACCTGAGTGCAGTATCGGATCGGTAGGTTGGATTGGCCAATACTGGGATCGGATTTTGATAATCTGCATCTTTGTGTTTTGCATATCTAGATGTTCCTAATGTATATATACTAGTGGAAGATTGAACCTAATAATATTATGAATACCAGAAATAAAGGCACTTTTCAAGTGATGCAAAGATATTTTATGACAAACAAAATTATGTTGAAAATACACTTATCTTTGTGAAAAAATTTAAGAAGCACATAATATATATGTATGTACATTGTGCTCTCTCTCCATTGCAAAGGTGGCTGAATGTATTGCATATTTTCATAGGTAAACATACTCCCCAATTCAATCTTCTTACAAGTCATATCAAAAAACATTGGGGAATTCTTTAGATTGGATATGTATTGGTGGCTGATATGGAGTTGGTTGTAGGCATATAGACAACACTAATTTTGATTAACTGATTTAATCATAATTTCAATTAATCGATTAGTTTACATGACACTAATCTATGTAACCATTTCTCTTAGTTAATCAATTATATTAATTAATTTATTGAATTGTCTAACTTTAGATAAGATCCACTATTACAGAACAACACGTTTATATGGAAACAAGTTTGACACTTTCACATGTCCTCACCATTTCAGCTTTTGGCCTTCTATAATAGTGGATCTTACTTTCATTGTGCTTTCTATTCATTTTCTCTGTTGCAAACTGAGGATGCTTCCTTGAAGAAGTGAAACATTTTGGTACACAACTTCTTTTTCATTTGGTTGAGAGAAGTTGATGTTTTAATCAGAAGTTTTGAGAAATAGTGTACTCAAGTTTCATCATTAAACATACGTACTTATGTTTCCTTATTGTTATACATGTAAAAATTATTGGCTTACATTGTATATTTGGATTTATCTCAAATTTCATTAAATGTTAGGAAAATAATGTGATTGTAATCTTACCAAATGTTTCATGTGTATATAAATTTTTAGTAGTGTTACGTCTCTGTTTGTTAATTAATTTTCCGTAACTTCGTTCCAACGAAACTTTAGCGACACAAGTCCTTACTTAATAAAACTGGTTTATTCTTTCTGAATATAACTTCACGATACACTTGATTTCAACATTCGCGCTAAAACAAACGCTATAATGAATGTTAACTTCAACAATAGTTTCTCACTGCAGATCAATTACTCACTACCTACACACACATTATCCTGTCACGTTGTCACCCTTTTATATATACCAGACTACCCTATATCTAGTAAATGCTAGGGCATTCACGAAGGAACAAGATATTTCTAGAAACGTGGCGTGACACTAGTCACGTGACCTCGCTGACGCAACAGTAGTTTTAATCTCTTTTGCAAACCATAGTAAGAGATAAGAGAAAAAAACTGTGTATGAACATTCTTGCACATTTTGTTTCTACATTGAAAAAGTGAAAGAAGTATAGCAGTTATAAGCTATTTGGTTTGTTTTTAAAGTGTGTTTATTGTGTTTGCAAAGTTTTAAGTTCTGTTATAAAGTGCTTATTAGAGATAAAATATACTAAATTATGTGTAAATGAGCAGTAGCCCATAATCATTGAGAAATACTTTTGTAGATGCATCAAAGAAACCTCTGTAAAATGTTTAAAATTTTCTCTTTCCTAATTTGAATCTTTTATGTATTAATTTTTTCTTTAAAGACCAAAGCAATTAATCTGGATCATTATGTTAAGCAGTGCTTGTGGTCCTGCCAGTCATTAATGAGTTAGTTATAACCTTCATGTATGGAAGTATGATTTCATTATATGAGAATTTTTATTTTGTAAACTGTTCCTAGTGATTCAAATATATATATGTGTGTGTGTGCACACTGTATGTAATAGTGTAGCTTAAGCTTACATTTGAAAATTGGTAGAAACCATATATTGACAGTATAAAAGTGTTCTGTTGTAGTGTTTTAATGTAGTGTGGTTTCAAATGTCAGTTGATTGTTGGCAAAGGTATCACTAGGCACTGGCACACAGGGCGATGTCCCGATTCTATTTGCTCTGAATCTTCATTTGGTGTCTAGCAAAATCCGAATAGAAAACTATGATCCATATCAGATTGAAGTACCAAAAATTTCTGTGCCTGTAGGCCTGATCTTTGAATCTTTTAAGCACCTAGTGATATTTTTGATTGTTCAAGAGTGGATTTAAACATGAGTGCCCTGCTGTAGCCTATCTGTTGAATATGCACCAAAATTTTGTGCTACAGGTATATTGCTTTAACTTGTAGAAAAAATCAAGTAATTAATTTTCTTAACAAATACTTGTGATTAGAGCCATTGATCCAAATTATAGCTGTTATAATTATAAGTTTGAATATGTGTGTAGAAAATGTTTTGAGTATTAAGAAACAAAATTGTTATAATTACTGTGAAATGCTTAAGGACAATATGGGTTCTTTGGCTGATCTAGGCTGCCCCATCCACCACATCTAAAGTCATCCACTCTAAAGGTCAACCACCCTGTAAGAAAAATAAAACTGTTATAGTTTAAGATGACTCATACCTTGCTAAAATGTACATAGTTCTACATTCTCACCATTAAGTACAAAAGGAGATGATGCATCAACATTGTCAATTCCTTTAATAAACTAAAACTCCTCAATCAGATCCACTATTAAGTCTTCTTTTTTCAAGAGAAAACTTTTACAGAGATCTTAATCTGTTCTCATATGAATACCTTTCCATCCCAGATATCATCCTTTGAACCCATTCTGACAATTCAGTGTTCTTCCTTAAATAAGGAGTCCAAGACTGAATACAATACTCTAAATGAGGCCTAACCATTGAACTATACAATGTAATTATACCTCTTTAAACTTATAATCAGTATTTCTGTAGATACAACCTAAAACATTATTTGCTTTACTGCTAGCAACAGCACACTGCTTGGATGGTTTAGGAAACTGGTCAGTCAAAACACCAAAATCCTTTTCTTTCTTAGCACTGTGATTATGTATGCTACATGATAATTTTAAGTCCTTACTTAGTTTAATGTATCAGTTTCTGGTGTCATGCAGTGAGAAGTAAATTACTTCATTTACACAAAGGAAATATAAAACTTCTTATACATCTATATAGAATCTAGAATGTAAGTTTGTGACTTTGAGAAAATAATTTGTATAAACATTGTTATGACATTAAAAACAAAAATTGTAACTTTTCTCAGTTGAGGAAGAAATGCAGAAAGTGATCCTTATGACTACTTTAAGTTGTGTTTATGGATAGAAACAGTTGTGAAGAAACATCAGTTGGAAGTCACAAAAGAGATGGAAGACATTAAGACAACAGATTCCTTGATGGAGAGCCCTCTAATGTTGTGGGTGAGTGTCATGTTTCTACAATGAATCAAATTGTAAGAATCCTCTTGTAGTTTTAATAAGGAGATGTAACTTGCTGACTTCATAAGTTTGGCCTTCCAGTTTATTTTGTAGTATTTTTTGAATTTATGTGTAATATAGAATCATTGTGATTGAATTGAAACAGTATTTTACAACATGTTCAAATATAAATACATATTTTTTCCATGGTTTTTTGTTGACTGGTGTTAAGGCCAAAAATAAAATTTTGTTTGTTTGATGTTGGCCGCCAATCCACAAAAAATGGCCTGGCTCAAAATGTTTTTTAGCAGTTTGATCCCACTACCCTCTTTTTTCCTGCCTGGTCATTTTGTCATGTAGCCTTTTTGTTCTGCAAAGTATTTAGTTTTCTGTATATTACTTATCATATTAGGATTGTCTTTAAAGTACTTATAAATCAACAAACATTTTCTGCAAAACATATCGGCTGCTTATGCAGAAAAAAATTAAAAGCTGTTCAAGGAGCCAGCCATTTTTGTCATAAGTTATGCTTATATTTACAAACAAATCATTCATAACTTTTTGCCCCTCCCCCCTTCATTATTTTTGAAGACAAAGCAACCGAGTTAAGAACCTTTATATATTTTTTCCACAACTTCAACAGCCATTTAATACACCATAAACCTGTTTTTAGAATGATAGGTTTATTGGGTAATAGGAAATACAGCCATTTAATACACCATAAACCTGTTTTTAGAATGATAGGTTTATTGGGTAATAGGAAATACAGCCATTTAATACACCATAAACCTGTTTTTAGAATGATAGGTTTATTGGGTAATAGGAAATACAGGTGTCTAACAAAACAAGCAAAATGATCACAGTATCTTCCAATGTCATGCACAGAGCTACATGTATATATATTTCTCAAAGTATGTCAAATATATTCCAACTGACCTCAACTTTATAGCAATCCATGCACACTTCAAGCTGATACACTTTTGTACACACCACTTCTACTGTTACACATTCACACTTAATCCTCTTGCATGAACTCTATTATTTTGAAACAAAGAATAAAATTCTTTTATAAGTTCTTGTGAATTTTTATCTCCTATCAAATTTACTAATTACTAACAGAGTCAAGTATAATTACCCAGAATGCCCAGGGCCTCATCTGCTGTAAATGGTTTGCTGGCTAAGGACATACACACAACACATGCAATGTTAGAGTGCAGTTATTCTAACTATAGTGTCAAGCAGCAAGTACATAGTACAAAAGTGCCACTGTTACTCAGAAGTTCTGCAGGAAGGATTACAAACATATCACATGTAATGGGCAGTGCCCTTAGGATAAAATTGTTGGAGTTTCAATTATACTGCCAGTTGCACCAAATTTATTTAACTGAGGGTCTGTAGTGGCGAGTGAAGCTCACAAGTTGCTAACTCAAGGTAATTTACAGTTAGAATAAAAAATCAGAGTCCCAGACTAACATTGAACACATTATAATAACATTTATTAAACATTTTCATATAACATCCAATATAAATCACAATTTCATTAATTGTTAACTTCTTATAACCTTTTTTAAGAAGCATTAATCAGTACTAACCTTTAATACATAACAAGTACACTTCTTTAGTATAACATGAATATCCTTTTAATATTACTTACATTAACTAATCAAGAGAAACTATAAATCTATACTTACAACAGAGCTGGATTGGTAAAGTTTCAGAGCTTTGAGACTTCCAGAGTCATATTTACAAACCAGAGAGTTTGAGTACTTGATGGTAATTCGAGAACTCTGAGGAGAATCCTGTACTCTCGAAGGAGACTGACTTTTTGGTTTCAGACAGGGGTTTTTAAATCATATTTTCTTGGTATTCTCTTGACTTTCCAAATAGTATCCAGAACTACCCGCAAGTAGTTCCTCCACCTTATTGATCAATCTGTGCAACATCCTGGGCTAGTCCAAAACCATTACCAAAACTCTCAAGTGATTGGTTACTGTTATGGTGAGTTAGCCAGTTGCCTCTCTACTTGTACCAATACATTAGCATCTTATAAGGAATATGGCATCAAAGTACCACTTTTGCTTATTAACATCGACTTTTTCGTAGCTTCTACAGCGCTAATGAGTTTGCGTCAGTAATCCATCACAACCTGTCATGAGTGCTCAAGCACTTACTTCGTTGCTAGGCGATATCTTTATGTGCTTTTCAATGCCACTGACTATTTCATGATACTGATGTCCTTATTTATGCCATTTCTCCACGTATATGTTCACTCAGAAACTCAGCAAATTGTTAAAACTTTGTTTTTAAACTCTTTTCAACTATTAAATATACTGAAGAAATTGCAAAATTCCCTCAAATATATTCAATTGCTTCACACACACCAAGTTACTTTTTAAGAAGGCCAGCATAGACACAGCTAGAGTAACTACATCTACATTCCATTGTTGCTAAACATGGACCTATGTTACAAGCTGGGTAGCATGCTTCATGTTTATCAATGCTGCAAACTGCAGTGATGCTACAAATAATTTGATCTGACATGCTAAGTTTTGAATAGAAAAGAATCCATTATAGGTAAGCACCCTATTCCTTGAATTTGATTCTTATTTCTACCCAGAGTGTATGTATTAAACTTCTCAACCATTAAAGAAGTATTTATTTAATATAGCAATGAACTTATAGTTTTTAATTGTATGAAAAAACTTGGCAAAACTTTATGAAAATGCAACAGGGTTTTTCATCTATTCAATAAATTTATAGCAATCATCAAATGATTTTTTTTCTGCATTTAAGCTTTGAGAATGTACCATTTGTGACTTCTTTATTAAAAAGTTTCCAGGGGACATGCCCCTAGACCTCCCACACAGAGACTTCATGCCTTTGGCAATTGTTACTGCTGGTAACCTGAAGGGAAAAAAAAGTACCTATCTACCTACCCATACCTCAGAGGGGTGAGTAGGCAACATCAAACAAAATTTTTTAAGCTTGGCCTAAGCATCTTTGTTACTGATACAACTTACAAGAACTACCTATTTGATAGGATGTTCACAGTTAAGCATCATTACTTCTACTTACTACTAGAATGTACAGAAACTTGTTTACTTTGAAAATTTTTGATCATTGTTAAGCATCATTATTGTTAATATAATAAATAAATTTCTATATACTGTATTTTTTACTATGTTGTTTTCTGTTAAGCATCATTGTTGATAGAATAAGACACAAGTTAATATTTTCTGGTGTTTAACCTTTAAGGTATATATGTATGATCAGTTTCACTTGTCATAAGCAATAGTATTAATTTTATTTAATTTTTTGAATGCTATATTCTACAGAAGAAAAATAAAACCAATAAGCCTAATTATGTTATGAGAAATATAGATTATTATATTCACACTTCACCAGCAAAAGGTGTTCATACCATAATAATTATAAGTATGTATGTATGTTGTTTAGTTGTTGCAAAGTATCTTTGTTGGTGTAATGGTGTAGAAATAAATATAATTCAAAATAAATTTAGTAGGCAATTTTAGAAAGGTTTTGAAAGACATTTTAATTTTTTTGGCATAGAGCAGGCGGTTAGTCTTATTTGAAACTTACATCCCAACTTATAGCAGAACAGTAAATATATATATACAATTAAATTTACTTTTACAAATACAGAGATTGGTAACTGTTTACATCTAATATGTATACATGTATATCTTCATTTTGTTTTTAGTAGCTCTTTATCACCATTATACTCTCTTTGTTCTGCCATTCCAGAATACATATAAATATGATCAACAATGGAAGTATTATCACTGTATAAAACAAGGAAATATTTAAGTCACTTGTGCAGCCACTGTCAATTTTGCTTAATAATGATGTGATTGCCATGAGAAAGAGGTTTTACTGTAACTTTTTTATTCTATATAGGTAGATGGGCCACATTTGCACAGAAATAAATTGTATTGAATGGTGGGACAATCCATATTTGAAAAAAAAATGAATATGCAATACAATACAAAAAAGATAGAACTTAAAAAGTGACACAGAGTTCTCCAAAAGCTTTTAAATGTAATAAGATGACCTGTTAGTGGATAAAAAAAAAGGTTGAAAAATGTTACACTTGGAAGTTTATAGATTGGCTTAAAGAACAAAAGGAAGAGTTTGGACACCTAACTTAGCCATCATAGTCACCAGATTTAAATGTTAACAAGCTCATTGGTCATTTCCTGAAACCAAAATTCAAAGTAGATTTCCACTTGCAACATCATTTTGACAGTTAGAAGAAATTGTGATCAACAAATGGTCAAAAATGTTGTTTGATGCACAACACGTAGTTCTGAGACAATACACACCTCTTCACACAATTAAGTTATCTCTCCCATGCGTCTGCCTTAGAGATATGCATGCCACTAGCCTTTAACAACGTTCGTCTAATATTACGAGATTTTTCATGAATTGTGCCACTGCATAATGATGTTATGTGGCAAAAGCCCTCCACCAATAGGAGGGTGACACACTTCCTTGTGCAGTAACTCCTATGCTTTATACTCGTGAATCTTCATTCTTTTCCTCTGCACTGAATACATCAGATGTATTTTTTCTTTTTCAATTTAATGAGACTTGCAACGTTTAAGGAACTTAATTTCCTTGTTTTTTTTCTACAAACTATGAACTCATTAGTTCATGTAACATCTAAATTCTAAACTATTTGTTTGAGTGAATAATTTCCTCATACAGATTATGTAACAACTGTGATTTATAGAGGCATATTCACTGGGGATGACGGCCATTGTGTATGGGGTAACTGGTTTTCTTATGTAGCCAGGACATTCAGCTCCAGTCCTTTTTTAGGCATTCCTTTGCCTTGTTTTGAGTGGAGAATGAGGAAGACAAATTTGATTGTTTCCTCCTTGTGTTATGCTTTGTGAATCTCTTTCAACTTTTTTACATTATCAGGACTTAATTTCACAGATATGCACCATTGTTTTTTTCTCTCTTGTATCATATAATTG